GTCTGGGGGGCGCGGGCGCTGTTTTGCAGCTCCGGCTTCTACCGGGCTCTGCCGGGCAACTGGTGGCTCCGGGCGCAGGGGCCGGGGACGGGAGCGGAGCCTCCAGCGGGCAGCGCTGCCTTCCCCGGGAGCAACCCTGCCGTGGGCAGCCCGGGGCCGGCCCGCAGGCTGGGGGCTGGGGCAGGCTGAGAGCGGAGCTGGTGCCATCGGAACAGGGCTCCTCTTCTCTGCATGGGTGCTTCTGTCTGTGCAGGGTCTCGGAGCTCTTATTTCCCCCCTTTTAGGAGCCACGGGACTCCCTACACACAAAGAGAAGTTCAGACACTCTGAGAATCATACTAAGCCTTACAATTAAGGAAAAAGAGGGAAATTAAATCCTAAAAAAATAAGAATAGAATTCAGTTCTCTTTTGCTTTGAGAAGAGCACAATGCTGTATGCACTCTGTGTATTTGTACAGGCTGGAGCAAATCCAGTGGTTGCTACAGTTCTGCTCTTGTAAATCTTGTGTGTGAGAACAGCCTTACCCCTCTTCCTCTTTTAATCTCACATTTCCTATGTGGCAAGCGCAGGAGATGATCAGACTGAGAATGATGCTCTTAAAAATGCTTCATTTAAGCACCCCAGTGTATGAATCTAACAGATGTTAACATTTCCTTCAGATAAAATGTGTGTAAGCACACTAAACATTGCAAAATAGTTGCAGAAACCAGGGTGTGGGGCATAAGGCTCAGTCCTGAGTCTTAATACTACGAACCTTTATCATCTTTGTGACCTCATTGTAGGGTTACATCGATGCAACTCTGCTGACTTCACTATCATTGTGCTCTCACTCTCTTCAGTTCCCTAGAGAACATAATCAAGACCACTCTGGTAGGATTTCTCCAGTAAATAAGACTGATATATAAAGAATGAAGTAAATGTTTCTTGTATTTTCTAGCTTCTCACTTCTTTTAAAACAGACAGGATATTCAAAAAAAGTTTTCAGCTTCTGCTCTGCTAAAGGGGCCCTACAGTGAAATCACAGCCTTATCACTATGAAATCATCATCTTTTACCATGGAGTTAATTGGAAGGTGATATATTGTATCTTAGTAGCCAAATTAATTCCTTGGAAAGTATTTTCATAGTTTCCATTAGCTTAATGGAAACCTGCACCTGTGTTTTGCTGATTGTAGCAGAGCCAAGAAATTAATTGTATAAACAAAACAAACAAACAAAAAAAAGCAGATACGGATTGAAAAGCTGTTGATTCCTGCTCACATTCAGATGTCAAAAGTTGCTCTTACAGGTTTTTCCAGTTGAAAGTCCCTACCTGAGCTTTGCATAGATATTTCATAGAGTGGTTGCTCTTGGTGATCTTTTTGTAAGACAACAGATTGCTTAGATACCCCCAATAGACAGGGGAAAATGTATGCAATGCCATCATAGCATTAGTGTCATCGTTTGTATCTTCGTTCACATCTTCATGGTGTGGGAGTCAGCAGCAATTTCTTTCTTAGTGAAAGAGTTTAACTTGCAGAGGAACAAGACATATGATGTGTAATTTTTCTTTCATAGTGCCTTTGTCTTCAAGAACATGTGTCTTATATGCATACCTAATTTTACTCTTCTGAATGATTGCATATTATATACCAACTGTTTGAAGGATAAGATCCTAAATACTTGCAGAGTACAGTATAGCCAAGCACTTCACAGGGCAGTGAAGGCTGCTTTTAAAACCAGAAGGACCACTATCAATAGTAGGGAGAGTTTCTTCAGTACCAGTTGTAGTCTCTGTGGAATTGCAACAAAAAAAAAAAAAAAGAAAAAAAGAGGGATAACCTTAAAAGTTGCCATTGAACACTTTGTAGCCATTTTCTTGTACAACAAGTCTGTCACATATAAGCACTGACATGGGTTGGCTCATTACATCTGTGACTTAACCGGTGAGCTCTTGCTGCACAGGAACTGATAGCAATTCAACGGCAAACACAAGGAAAATAGATACAAGTGTATTTCTTTCTGTCCCCAGCTGGTCACCTTCTGAGGTGGAATTGCTCTCTTACAGGAGCTACTCTCTTCTTTATTGCATATGCTGCATCATGATTGAGAAGCCTGTTATATCTGGAAAAAACCTGTGATCTACAGTTGTTTTTAACTGAGTGCTCCACTATAATTACAACTACTTACACATACCACAGAATTTGACCTAAGATGCT